ATGCAACAGTGGTCTTTAAAGTCCTTATGTTCTTGAGCTTATGGCATAGTTGGCATATTGAAGAGAGAGAGGAAAGCACTTCTTTCAAGAAAATTATCATATAAGGAAATTTTCAAGAAATCAGTGGTGAATGGGTGAGAGTTTTTTTTTAGTCATTTATTTTTGTTTTTGTTTATTTGTGGTAAAGTTATATTAAAAATTTCTTTTTTTATATAAAAAAAAAAAAAAGAAACGACAAAAAATGAAACAAAGTAAAATAAACACCAGAAAAATAAGCATAACATACACTCGTTAAGATGAATGATAACCAATTTTAACATTTGATGAAAGATATTTTCCAGTCAATAGACGGTATTGCCAAACAGAACAGTGCAAGGGAAGCTAACCATATGAAAGCAAGAACGTTTGCCGGAATTGAGGACAATGATCCAGTAAAATGGTTGAAGGAATTTGAGCAAATGGCAGAGGTTAATGACTGGAATGATGACAAAAAGCTCAGGGTGGCCCCTAGATATATGATGGAATTAGCCGCCAACTAGTGCAAGGAAAATGTGGATAAGGTCAAGAAATGGAGAGACGATATGGACCAGATGCAGAGTTTTCGTCACGTGTTGATAAAACATTTCGCCATGTCAGAAAAATGTCATAAGTGACAGAAAGTATTGAATGAACTAAGTTAACGAGTTGACGAGAAAGTAAACAACTATGCAGTACAGTTTAAGTGCTTACTGACAAGAGTGAATCTGGAGGAGACAATTCCTAATGACAACATGATAAGAATGTTTTTAAATGGACTAAAAGGTAATACGGCAATGTTTGTTAACATAATGTCTCCAAAGAACTTGAATAAAGTAATCTTAGCAGCACAAAAGGCCGAGACAGGAAACTATTATGGTCAGCAAACTGTGAGGGAAGACAAGGACATGACAAAGAGGTTGGAAGACAAGATGGGAAAATCAGAAAACAACTAAAAGAGCTAACGTTGAACTATGCCAACTTGAGGAGAACACCACGAAGGGAACCAAGAGAGGAGGAAAGGAAAAACGTGATCTGTTACGATTGTGGAAAGGAAGGGCACATAGCTTGATGGTGTCCAGAGAAGAAGACATCAAAAAAAGCTCAGAAGACAACAAGTCCTAAGGTGCAGTATATATATGTTGCTGAAATTCATAGATCCTTAATGCAATTGACGCAATTATTTGATGCAATTAATTGAGTCACTATTAAAACATATAAATAATTGAGTCATGACGCAATTATTTTTGTGGATTTTAGGAATTGAGTCAACAGCAAAATAATTTATACCATATGTATAGTGCAGTATATCTACGAAGAAAGAAAGAGAGTGAAAAGATGACGTAAAGGAAGAGAAGGCTTACGCATTAGGGGACACTTTGCAAGTTGTAAAAAAGAGAGGAAGACCATCCCGCCAAGACGAAAAAAGTATGGATAAGCCTCCAAAAGCAACAAAACTTATAAGGGTACAGGAACCAATAGTAATCGTGGAATCCCCCGAAGCAACCGATGTCAAAAAAAAACCAAGACGAAAAAGGCTGCCTTCAGTTGTGGATTCCCTGGAACCATATGACATTTCGGAAGATATTGTAATCAAAATCCGTTTGATCTGTATCTGAGTGGTAGTTTTTAGAAGGAATTAGAGATTATATAGAACAGTCCGTCGTTCCAGAGATAATCTCTCACAAATATTCCAAGGTACGGCAAAGATTCCCCAATGAATCTTTGTAACCAAAATGTGTTTAATAAAATAATAATACTTTATTATGACACTGAGTCAGAAATTCCAACAGTTACAAGAGTGAATTATCCGAAAACTGACCAAAAATTACATGGACGGCAGTTACTTATATACTGTTTTCTATCCTAAGCTATCTGGGCTGCCTGGGCTGTTTGGACTGTCTAAGCTGCCTGATCTACGTGTCGCGATGTCATAATTTCATAGATCATAGGCCTTGTGGGTCTTTTGGGCCTTCCAGGCTGTTTGGACCTTCTAGGCTGTCTGATCTACATCACACATGCTATAAATAGATATTTATACTATAATAATAAATGCTACTGCTAAAAATAAACTAATAATAATTCGATAAAAATAAGTAAAAATAAGATTAAGTTATCTATTCTATCACAATATCTTATCGATGAGAGTGAATGTCACATACACACAGTTATTAAAATACCCCGATCAAAGATGGAACCTCTCGAAGATAATGAAGAGAGCTAAACCACCAAAAGAAACCAACCAGGTGAGCACAGTGGACACTTTGAGAATGACCGCTGCCAAATGTTATGTACGAGTGGGAGATAAAACGGTAGTAGCCATCCTGGACATGGGAGCGGCAGTGAGTATAATCACAAAAATTAGCAGATAAGCTTCGTTTGACGATCAATGAGAAATCTATTTTGGTTGTTGTCACAGTGAATGGAACGAGGGTGAGGACTTTAGGGAAGGTAAAGGATGTGGGCATTACAATCCAAGAGGTAACTATTCCTGTGAGACTACGAGTTATCGAGTCATGAGACAAAACACTTTTGCTGGAGACCGATTGGTTCCAGAAGGTGAAAGCACGAATCCATTTTGATAAACAAAGAATATTTTTAAAATATCAAAGGAAAGAGCTAGAGGTACCCATCTCACACAATGGCGTTGAAGAGTTGGTACGGCCAGATGAACCGGAGTCAAGTAACTACTAGAGTGGAGGCATGTATGGTGAATTTGAGTATGAAAGCGAGGAAGTGGAAGAAAAAGAAGGCTACTATACCAGGGAGCAATCAGGAGAGGAGACCACCAATCAGGAGAGTGTGGCAGAAGAAACCACTGGTCGGGAAGAAGCACCCCCATCAGAGGTGGAAACCGAGGAAATGGAGATCCCTAGTCCCACTATATACTTAACCATCCTAAAGAAAATACCAATGCCGGAAAAAGAGAAGGAGTCTGCTATTGGAGAATCAAAAACGGATATGGACAACCTAACAGAGGAAGAACGAGGAGAAGTAATGAAACTCTTCGAGACAGAAAAAAAACTATTCGCAGGAAGTTTGGAGGAGCTTATCCAGACCGATGTAATCCAACACGAAATCGATACCGGTGACGTGAAACCTATAAAGCAAGCCCCCTACAGGATGGCACTCGACGAACATGACTACATAAGGGATGAACTTATAAAGATGAAGAAACGGGGACTTGTCATAGAATCTAGAAGCCCATGGACTTCTCTGATCATGATAATGCCAAAGAAGAACGGTAAGCGACGTCTATGTGTAGATTACAGAAAATTAAATGCAGTGACGAAAAAGGACGCTTATCCCCTATTGAGGATCGACAACTTGATCGAAGCTCTTGAAAGAGCAACGTGATTTTTGAACCTCAATCTAGCTAGTGGATATTGGCAAGTCCAAGTTTACAAAAGGAATCACGAAAAGACAGCCTTCATAATTAAATTTGGAACATATGAGTTCCAGGTGATGTCATTTGGTCTATGCAATGCCCCGGTTATGTTCCAAAGGTTGATGAACCGAATGCTATATGACTACATCGGAAAATTTGTAGCCGTTTATTTGGATAACATTATTGTGTATTCGCTGACATTCCCAGAACCTATCAGTCATTTGACCTGTATTTTTAGAGAGTTGAGACAGGCTTTGCTGAAGTTGAATGCAAAAAAATGCAAGTTCTTTTTACCAGAGGTGGAATTTTTGGAACACATGGTAGGAAGGGATGGCATCCAGCCAGACAAAGATAAAATCATAAAAGTGAAAAACTTTCCAGCCCCGGGAAGTGTGAGACAGCTGCGAAGCTTTATTGGTCTCGCCTTATACTACAGGAAGTTTATTCGTGGGTTTGCTACAATTGCCAAGCCCCTACACCAACAGTTGAAAAAGAATACAATATATGAGTAGGGAAATAAACAGCAGATGGCATTTGAGTTACTAAAAACATACCTGACAACAGCTCCAATTCTGCAGTACCCGGATTTTAAGAGGATATTTTATTTACACACCGACATATCTGGAACAGGGTTGGAAGCAGTGTTAACACAGATCGATAAGGCAAAAAGGGAATATGTGATCGCATACACCAGCAGAAGTTTGTTAAAAGCTGAGCGAAATTACGCAACAACAGAGCAGGAATGCTTAGCGATAATATGGGGAGTTGAGTACTTCCACCATTATCTGAATATGAAGCCGTTCATAGTAGTCACTGATCATGCTGCATTAAGATGGCTGAAGAATTCAAAACTAAAAGGTAGAAGGGTGCGATGAATCCTTCACCTTCAATCATATAATTATACAATACTATACCGTGCTGAGAGAAAACATTCAAATGCCGATGCCCTATCATGTTTATCTAAGAGGAAAGAAGGAAGTAGTGCTAGCAATGGAAAACCCGACCACACTGAATGAACGAAAAATCCACTCTATCAATACGACAACTCAAATGACAATTCCTACTTACTAACTTGTAACATCTGATATGAAGCAATAGCAAAATAATAACCATATGACAGTAACGATGCAATATAACTAGCAACCACTAAAATAGTAATAGAGAAAAAAAATACTAACCTTAAAAATCTGTGGAACAGAATTTAGCCCAGGTTCCAGTATCCTGGCGAAAAAGAATTAACTAACTAGTAAACAAACACTAATGAGAAAATAAACACCTAAGGTTCATACAAATAATGGAAGAGGAATGATATAGACAGTTGAAGAACTATCTGCAAAAACGACAGTTACCCAAGAATTGCTTGCAACAACAGAAATGACGGATACAGGCACAAAGCAATTTCTTTGTTGCAAAAGGAGGATCTATTTATACAGTATGTCTCATATTTATTTGTAAAAAAATTGTCAGCGATCTGTACATATACAACTAACCAAAGTTAGACAG